TGCCGGCTCATGTTGAGCTTCTCATCTATAAACACCCCCAAATCCTTCTCTTCAGGGCTACTCTCAACCCACTCAGTGCCCAGTTTGTGCCTAGGATTGGCCCGACCCAGGTGAAGGACCTTGCATTTTGACTTGTTGAAGCTCATGCAGTTTGCACTGGCCCATTTCTCAAGCCTATCAAGGTCACTCGGGATGGCATCTCTTCCCTCAAGTGAGTCCACGGCACCACACAACTTGGTGTCATCGGCAAACTTACTGAGAGAGCACTCAATGCTGTCATCCATGTCACTGACAAAGATGTTGAACAGCACTGGACCCAGAACAGACCCCTGAGGGACACCGCTTGACACTGGTCTCCACGTAGACATCGCACCATTGACCACAACTCTTTGAGTGCGACCATCCAGCCAGTTCTTTATCCACCAAGTGGTCCATCTGTCAAATCCATGTCTCTCCATTTTAGAGACACGGATATCATATGGGACAGTGTCAAACACCTTGCACAAGTCCAGGAAAACAACATCCGTTTCTTTACCCTGTCTTCAGGGATCTTCTCAGTAGAGTACAATGGGATGACGCCCTGGAGGGAAGAGGGGACCAAGAAAACTGGCTAATATTCAAGATCATCTCCTCTAAGCTCAGGAGCAGTGCATCCAACAAAGAGGAAGTCGAGTAAAAATGCCAGGGATCCTGCATGGATGAACAAGGAGCTCGTGGACCAACTGAAGCTCAAAAGGGAAGCCTATAGAGGGCGGAAACAAGGACCAAAGGAAGGACAGTTAGCCTGGGATGAATACAAAGAAATTGTCTGAGCAACCAGAGATCAGGTTAGGAAAGCTGAAGCCCTGATAAAGTTAAATCTGGCCAGGGACATCAAGGGCAACAAGAAAACTTCTATAGATATGTCAGTGATAAAAAGAAATCTAGTGAAAACGTAGGCCCTCTCTGGAAGGAAACGGGGAACCTGGCTACCTGCGATATGGAAAAGGCTGAGGTTCTCAACAACTTCTTTGCCTCAGTCTTCACTGACAAGAGCTCCAGCTGCACAGCCCAAGCCACAGAAGGCAAAGGCAGGGACTGGGAGAATGAAGAACTGACCCCTGTAGGAGAAGATCAGGTTTGAGATCATCTAAGGAACCTGAAGGTGCACAAGTCCATGGGACTTGATGCAGTGCATCCACAGGTCTTGAGGGAACTGGCGGATGAAGTTGCTAAGCCACTATCCATCATATCTGAGTAGTTGTGGCATTCCGGTGAAGTTCCCACTGACTAGAAAAGGAGAAACATAGCGTTCATCTTGAGAAAGGGAAAAAAAAAAAGACCTGGGAAACTACAGGCCAGTCAGTCTCACCTCTGTGCCCAACAAGATCATGAAGCAGATCCTCCTGCCAACTATGCTAAGGTACATGGAAAAAAAGTAGGTGAATAGTGACAGCCAACATGACTTTACTAAGGATAAACCATGCCTGACAAATTTGGTGGCCTTCTACAACAAAGTTACAGCATTGGTGGATAAGGCAAGAGAGACTGACATCATCTACTTGGACTTGTCCAAGGCATTTGATACTGTCCCACACAACATCCTTGTCTCTAAATTGGAGAGACATGGATTTGACTAATGGACCACTCAGTGGATAAGGAATCAGCTGGATGGTCACATTCAAAAAGTTGTGGTCCACGGCTCTATGTGCAACTGGAGACCAGGGGTGAGTGGCGTTTCTCAGAGGTCAGTATTGGGGCCAGTGCTATTTAACACCTATAATAGCAACATGGACAGTGGGATCAAGTGCACCCTCAGCAAGTTTGCTGACAACACCAAGATGTGTGGTGTGGTCAACACGCTGGATGGAAGGGATGCCATCCAGAGGGACCTCGACAGGCTTGAGAGGAAGGCCTATGCGAACCTTATGAAGTTCAACAAGGCCAAGTGCAAGGTCCTGCACATGGGTCGGGGCAATCCCAAGCACAAGTACAGGCTGGGCGGAGAATGGATTGAGAGCAGCCCTGAGGAAAAGGACTTGGGAGTGCTGGTGGATGAGAAGCTCAACATGAGCCGGCAATGTGCGCTGGCAGCCAAGAAAGCCAACCGTATCCTGGGCTGCAGCCAAAGAAGCATGGCCAGTAGGTCGAGGGAGGTGATTCTGCCCCTCTACTCTGCTCTCATGAGACCCCACCTGGAATACTGCATTCAGCTCTGGGGCCACCAGCATAAGGACATGGAGCTGCTGGAGCAGGTCCAGAGGAGGGCCACGGAGATGATCCAAGGGCTGGAACACCTCTCCTATGAAGACAGGCTGAGAGAGGTGGGGCGGGTCAGCCTGAAGGAGAGAAAGCTCCAGGGTGATCTTATTGCAGCCTTCCAGTACCTAAAGGGGGCCTACAGGAAAGCTGGAGAGGGGCTTGTTACAAGGGCGCGTGGTGACAGGACAAGGGGCAATGGCTTTAAACTGAAAGAGGGCAGATTTAGATTAGATATAAGGAAGAAATTTTTTACATTGAGAGTGGTGAGGCACTGGAACAGATTGCCCAGAGAAGCTGTGGATGCCCCATCCCTGGAAGTGTTCAAGGCCAGGTTGGATGAGGCTTTGAGCAACCTGATCTAGTGGAAGGTGTCCCTCCCACAGCAGGGAGGCTGGAATGAGATGATCTTTGAGGTCCCTTCCAACTCAAACCATTCTGTGATCTCTCATATGAGGAAAGGCTGAGAGAGCTAGAACTGTTCAGCCTGGAGGAGTGAAAGCTTAGGAGGGAATCTCATCTATGTGTACAAACACCCAGAAGGTCAGTGCAAAGATGACAGAGCCAGGCTTTTTTCAGTGGTGCCCAGTTACAGGACAAGAGGCAATAGGCACAGACATGGGATGTCCCTTCTTAACATCAGGAAACACTTTTTCACTGTGAAGGTGACTAAGCACTAGCACAGGTTGCCCAGAGCAGTGGTGAAGCCTCCCTCCTTGGAGGTCTTCAAAAGCCATCAGAACATTGTCCTGAGCATCCAGCTCTACATGGCTATGCCTGAGCAGGGGGTTGGACCACATGACCTCCAGAGGTCCCTTCCAACCTGAGCCTTTCTGTGATTTTCTTTGCTTTCAGTGTGACAGCACTCATATAGGATGTAGGACAGAGACAGTGAGCTAGCATGCTTCAATATAAAATTAAGGCAGAAGAGAAGCTACAAAAATCTCAGCACATGAGCTAGAGGAGGTAACCAAAACCCACAGAGCTTGTTAAATGTTCCAGCTAGATGGTGTACACAAAAAAGGTACATTGCAGGTACATTGTTAGCCCCTGCAAACCCAGCTTACAAAACATGGCTTTAACTTCTGTAATATTGTTTTGGCCTTGAATTTGAGACTCTTTGCCCATTTTCTTGGATTGCAGCTCAAACACATGCCTTCAGTACAGATAAAATGTCCTACAAGACAGGACAACGTGGTGATTAATTAGTTCCAGAACTCAGTGTGCAAGAACCCCTCTAATCTGCTGATCTTCTAAATTCCAGTAAATTCAAATTAACATTTTAAACATTGTATATTTAGTGCAGTGAAGTTTTCTTTATTAAATTACCAATTCTTTTTAGAAGCCTTTGTTTGTAGAGCTTTGGGGTGAGTAGAAGAAAGGAAGCTTTCAGTCAAGGTGAATGCATTATTGGTCAAAGCTAACATTAGGTATCAGTATTCTATGGACTTGCTCTGTGCTTCAATTGTATTACACTCACCTGTGGTATCCCTGCACAGTTCAGAAAATATTTTCCTGCTCTAATCTCTCCATGGAACTAAGCTTCCAGGCCTGCAGTCTACTATCATTTCATCACCACTCATCAGTATGTTGTGAATACACTTGCAAAGATGAGAATAGCTCCCGTCACTATAGACAACAGTAAGGTACAGATGAACTGCAAGAAACAGCAACCATTTATTCAGTATCTTATCCACCAAAGGGAAACAGCTACTAGAAACACAGTTGCTGTGCAGCAACCCTCTGAACCCTAGTATGTCTTAATCTGTATCTGCAGCCCTCCTCAACCTGGACTAACCTTCTGGCTTGTACACAAAAGGTATTGAAGCAGTTCTGCTACACACTAGTTAAGCTACTGTATCTTTGATAAATGAATGAGACTGAACGGACTCTTCTTGTAAGACAGACAGCTCAAGTGAGTGTTACCAGAGCAAGGCTAGAATACAGCCCCTGTGAATGCTGGGTGAGATTAGAGAGACAAGGAAGCAGCAGAACAGATATTCTCCAGATCAGGTGGTTTCAAATTCAACCACTCTGGCAGACAGAGCTCCAGCCCAGTAGATGAGCAACAGTAAGAGCAAATCTTCCTTCTTCTTGCTCTCCAAATCTCCAGTCCACCACCCTGGTGGGAGAAAGCGTCTGCAAGAGTCAGTAAGGACAAAGACAGTTCAAAAACACCCAAGCAGCCTCTGCACAACAGAACTTTGCATATGAAGCCAGTGTTGAATACAAGACAGAACAGAATATGCAGTAGAGTATCAAGGGCCTTAGCTAATCAGTACCCTGTACTGTACTTCTAGCCTACGATCTGCAGCTGGAGGGACAGCAGAAAACTACACAGAACTGGTCACCTGCAGAAAGCAGTGTCCTCAGTTCCACTAGAGGCAAGAAAAGCTCCTTAACAAGCCTGCTGCTCCAGTTTGTTAGAGCTTCTACCTTGTATAAATTGGATAGGGAAGCTGTTTTTAAACTAAAGCTCTCAAGAGCTTTAAGAAAGCTTATGGTGACAACAGGACAGCCTCCCAGAAACCAGGAGCATTGATGGCTGGTCAGTCACCAGCAAGGTGAAATCACTAGCAATTAAAAGAATGTCTGCTTGCACTCAATTCAAACACACCCTGTTGAAAGGGAGCAGGAGAGCTTCTTAAGTCATCCAAAGTCAACACATTTTGCTGTTTAACAGATCTTTAATATCAGTAATGTTGGAAGTAACATCTCAGTGCACAACAGCACAGAGACTACAGTTCTGGAGGTTCTCCCGTATCAGACACAAAGGAAACATGAGGAAGAACATGCAATCAAATAATGATCAGCTCTAGATACATCATGAGGTTTGGTCCAAAGAAACATTGAAACAATTAATCCAATTACTGCAAACATAGCTTCTCTGAGTAAGGTTACGATATTGCATTTGTAGTGTTTCCATTGCGCTTTCCTTCAGTGAACCAGCGGAGCCTGCTTGAGTGAGATGAGGACTGAACGCATGCGGGATACATCTTTTGCCTGCTTACTAGACTTGGGATTAAAGTCACAGAGCTGAGCCACACGTTCCCACTCAGTGCCTGGAAAAATGTCTTCTGCATCATTCACAAAGGCTTCTTCAGCTGCCCTAAAAGCAATGCAATGCACCTTGCATTAATGCCCAACATATAAGGCAGTCCTTCCCTCTTACAGGATGCATTTTCTTTCAGCACGTTTCATAAGAAATGTGACCTGACAGCTGCTTGTGGACACTATGGCTACTTAAGCTCCCACTGGAGATGAAAGTAGGTTGCAGTAGTATGCTATGCACAAGCAGTGCAGAGGATTGCTGTGTAAAATGTTGGAATACAGGTGTTTGGTTTTAAGAATATTACTGAGTCTTTGCCTAAGGAGTCACCACACAAGCTGCCAGGAAGTAAGGTACTCCTACGGAGGCATTATATTTATGGAGAAATGCCCAGGTCTTAACTAGTTAAGCCTCTGCCACTTAATGGCTTATATTGGACACTTGCCAACTGGAAATTTGCAACTCCCTGCAAGCATGTCTTAAAACAGATTCTGTTTGAGGATTTAGATCAGCCCCAAGGCCTACAGGTCATCATAAAACTATCTGCTGATAATTCCCAACGCTGTAGTGAAGCAGCATAATCAAAAGGAATTTAAGTCATGAATCCCATGTTTGTAAGTGCTATTGACTGAAGCGTATCTTGGCAGAGGGGATGACTTGTCTGAGGTCAGCTCACAGAATAAACACATTTTCCCTGCTCTCACCCTAAGGAGACTCTAAGGAGGCTTTTTACATTATGTACAGGTTAGTGCCAGTGGCTTTGCAGCTGTAGCCTTTTGGCATTGGTATGCTGCCAACAGCATTGCTTCAATGCATGGATAACACTCCAGCATCTAGTTTACGTGAACTGTGGGGCCCTGGTAGCTGCCTAAGTGCAAGAGCAGTCAGCTTCAAGAGATCAAACCAAATCCATCTACTCCAACAAGCAGTACAGAAAAGCAGTGAAGATGATTCTCCCATGAGGGTTCAGCACTATTCACAAGGATGGTAAGGTTACAGACACCACTGAAGACAGGGGTCACTACAACACTGCTACTTTATGTGACATGACACTTTTAAGGGGCAGCGAAGATTTTTTTTTACTTAACTGTTCTAGGCTGTAGCAAGGATGATTTATGTTTGTGCTTAAAGGTGAGGAGAAGAAAAGAAACAAGGAGAGAAAGTTTAAGTCAGATATAGAAAATGAGAATGAGCTTAATGCAGATGATCAGCTGGCTGAACATGCAGTAGTAGCTTAGCCTACGTTCAGGAAACAGGCTGCTAATTTTATTCTGCAGCACTTATACTGCACATTTGCATTGGATATATGAAAATAAGGGGTTTACTGGAAAAATCTATCAAAATCAACTCCAGGAGACTGAAGTCAAATACCACCTGTAAATCCATCATTTCACAAATCTTGGTTAACATCCACCTACAGTTAGGTAATGAATTCCACACTGGACCCTCAATATTAATGCACTCAAAGCCACACCATGGCTCACCAATACACCTTCTAAAGGTGTCACCTTAGAATCTGCGACATGGCCATCTTTCAGTTGAAGTCTACAGATTAAGGGAAGAAATTAAAACACACAAACAAGCCAATAAATATTACAATCTTTCCACTCCACAAAAACTAGCACACTCATTAGGGCTTAGAAGTCATGGCTGTACTCTCATTCATATATTAGGCTAGCAAAATGTCTACAGAGCTGCTTCTAAATGTTCTCCTAGCAGCTAATGCTGACTTTCCAGTAACACCTTCTTGTACTTTTCACCTCTTCTCTAATAGCATCCTAATTCTATATGTATGCACCTCTTCTACCCTGATTTATGGCAGCTGAATCCTTTCCACCTTTCTTGGCTTGTGGAATTTTATGTGCAAGCATTGCTTGAATATTTTTCCAGTTATGTAGGCAAATGAGAACAGATCAGGAGCTCAACGCCTGTTACAGAGAATGCAGAGTCAAACACTGTACTTCTCTGTGGAGGTGACTAGGACTAAATACAGCACCCATGTGAAACTACAGACACACCCAGCAAAGCATCTTGCTAAGCAGTGTTCACTGGCCTGGAAACAACTGTAAACCTCTACATCTAATGACTACAGAAGTCATTACCAAAATTCCAGTGGTATGTATGCTACATGTCTTAATCTGAAAGTGCTGGATGTTGTGTACTGTATGGGATCCTTGCAAGAAAACAGCACTTAATACTGCAGATCAGTTAGTCCAAAGATTAAAGGCAATTTACTTATATTAGTTTATACTGCCCTGAAATACTCAGAAGTCACCTTCAGACATTCATCACTATTTCTAATCCTCCTTATTACCTAGTTGACTAACAAACAGAATTAGTAGTTAAGCAACATACACATAACCAATCACGTCAGCGAAGGGTTGTTTGTAGAAAGCTTCATCTGCCACCCTAGGTAGCAAGTAGTCCAACAGGCAGGCAAGCAGGCAGGAGAAAAAAGATAAGGATGAGAAGTAGGGAACACAGCTGAAGGCAGTTTTAACAAGCACATTAACTTTGTATCACCTAGACTTACTGTAACAGGAAAGCCACTACCACATGGAATGTATCAATTAAGCCATTGATACAAAAGCTCTACTATGTCCCAGAAGTTGGAACCAGCTAGTCTAGGACTAGAGACCCAGTGTTAGTGTCAGGCTACTTCCAGTGGATTACCATTAGGAGAGAGATCTCACCAGGCTGAGGAGAATGCTGAACACTCCTTCTGTGCAACATTTGTTAAACGGACCCTGCTGCAGAAGGCATATGCTGCACTCAGACACTGACCACAGTAAAGCTATGGAGGTACCATGAGCTCTGGCCACCAATCAGAAGAGTATCAATCCTGCTTCCCTTTCTTGGCCAACCAAAAGACTGTACCTCAGTGAATGGAAGTGTCACATCCATAATTTGTAGGAATTGCAGGCCTCCTTTCTTCCTTTAGTGAAAAGTAGAGTCTACTACTTATTCAAGACAAACCTGCTAGCAATTTGGTAAGAAAAATGGTGTTTCAAAACACAGTTTATCTTGAAGTCTGCGGGTTCCCAAAGTATAAATCAGCCCTGATAACAATTACCTGGACAGAGTGACAGTGGCAACCCTACGTCAGACAGAGATCTAAGTGGTATTCAGTCAGTACTATCATATTTACCTTTACATATCTCGAAGTCAAAATTCCACAGGGAACCTCTAAGAAAGTATAAGAACTTATTAGACTAGCAGCCAAGTCATTAGTTTCTGCCCCAGGGCCCATGGTTAAACAACTCAAACCCAACAGACACAGTCAGCATTTAGTTCTGCAATAGCCAAACTGAGTCAGGTTATTTCTCAAACACCTTCAAAAGGAGGAGCCAAAAGTTTTAAGATATCTAACAAAATACCTTGTAGCAAAGACTATCCAGAAGGCCGCTTCCATGTGTTCTAAAGATGGCAAGTAAGACTGCTAGTCTCAAGGTAGGTAATTACAGTCACTGAAGATCTATGCAGCTAGTAGCATGCAAACAAGTGGGCAGACAAAAACCTTTTTTTGGCCATGTCCAAACTTCATGTCTTAAGGAACCTTCAGTAATTCTAGTTTGTCATCTTAATGCTTCCTCTTGCTACTCTTAGACATTTAATCCAGATTCTAAAAAAAATTTTAAAAGATAGTCTACCATTGGAGACCTATTTCTTAGCAGGAGAGGTTACTTTAATGATCTGGAAGGCTAGTGCCTTAGGACATACTAGAAATATTCCAATCTCTCTTCCCCTTTACTTTCATATCCAGTACTGTAACTCTTCAGATGGCTGGAGAAGCCTTACCTGTTGCTTGCTTTTGTTTTCTGGAGCTTTTCATCTTGCCTTGCATACCACTCCGCCAACTCCTTTATTGCTTTCTCTTTCCATTCTGCTTCCTGCTTTCGTGAGTTCGCATCTGAAGATTTAAGAATTTTTTGTCAGTCATGTTTGTTCCAGATGGATCTTGCTAACATTTCAGCTGATGGCTCAGAGTGCACTCTAGTGCAGACAGTTGTTTGCTCTACTGAGATAAAAGTCAGGACACTTCCTAATTTAGGCTATCAGAACTCTAAATACCATGAACATTCAGAGGAGTAGCTAAACAGAATGTCTATGCTGCATAACTGAGACAGCCCACTTCAGTTTAGGCTAGGCATTTGTGGACTAATTCAGATTCAGTAAGTTTGTTGGCCTGCAAACTGTTCAAAACCAGAAAACAGTCACTTTGCTATGCTAGCGCTAGAACAAAGCTCAGTAAAGCCCCTGTGCTTAGACCAAGTGAAGGAGCCTGGCACCCAGCATGCTTTTACATCCAACCTACAGTTTGGGACAAGCTCATCTGCTGTAACTGTCCCAAAAAGAAGAATAACAGGCTCAGCTCTATCCAGAATCACTTTGTACAGAAGGTTCTGTGCTAACAATTTCAAGCAAAGCCTCTTTCCTAATATAAGTGGAAAGCAAACCAGTGTGTAGGCCCTCAAAAGCTGTCCACAGATAGGTATCACTGCATTTGACAACCGTATATAGTGTAGTTACTAGTCCATTACTTAACTATTACATTAAGATCCATGTGACAACAAATGGCCTCAGCAATTACAAAATAATTAGTCTTTATCCTTTCAAAAAAGTGCTGATGGCTGCAGTATTTAACTCTTTTCTGCTGATAAAAGCTGTTCATTTTGTGTCAGTTTATTTGTAAGTAAAGGGCAGGCCACGTGAATACTCTTAAGGTTCAGAGAGCCACTTGCTTACTGACTCCTACACCAGTATGAAGTCTGCTTACTGGAAGACTCATCCAGATTTGCTGTTCAAACTCAAGACGCATGTTAGATTCCCCAGAGCCAGAAGTCATGGCTGAGAATTCTGCCACTTAAGAAGCTTCCACTAAGTTACTCAGAAGCAAGAACACTACCGCAACTGCAACAAACACCCTCCTTACCAAGTTGCTCCAGGCGCTCCTTTTGCTCCTCTCTCCACTTACGAATACTCTCTGGTTCTGACTGCAGTCGATCTACTTGGGATATGGCAGCATAGGAGTCTGTTGGACCATTACTCTCCTTAAAGGGAAGGAATAGTAACGTCATTTACACATGGCAACTGAAACTTCAGATGACTGCCTGCAAGCTACATAACATTAGATTCTATTTGAACTGAGCACATAACACATTCATCTTATGTTATACCACAATTCCCCTATTAACATGAAAAACGTCTTGCCACAAATTACAGTAGGAGCAAAGCAAAGCAATACAGGTCTGCCTCTAGCAATCAAACACAAATTCAAGTTGACTGAGAAGTCAAATCATACCAGAGCTCTATGCGTGAAGAAAGCAGAAGACAAAGCCTAGTATCTCACTTTGCAGTTGTAAGCCTAGAGATCCTCCAGTTCCTTTCACCTTAAATATTTGCTGTGAAAGTAGTTTTTTCTATTTTTATGGTTTTGTCCATAGGAGTTTAAAACGTTTTCTGTAACTTATTTGTCTACTACAGAGACATTGGCGAACTTAACTGATAAAAGCCAATGTTCTTTAAAGACATTACAGAATTTGGATTGCTGCATGCAGCTTAGAACACAAGAGGCATTTCAACATTTAAGCATCAAAACGGTGTGAAAATTAGCATACTTCTTACTACACAATAGCTCACAGAATAGGACTACCATTAATACACCAGATTCAAAAAGCTACCAAATATTGTGCTACTTGCCACAGAGATACTCCCCTCTTTGGACCTCCTGTAGTCCTCCATGAAGGAATAATGCAAAGAGAAGGAGCTAGGCTGGTGCAATCACACCAAGCTTCACATTCAATCCAAAACAGATTGGCCAGTTGCACGGCCAAACTAGTTACAGGCAGCTAAAACAAAAGTTACATACAGCCCATTCAGTTTGTTCTTCCTCATTAAGAGGAAGCTGTATTAACGAAAGCAGCTAGTCACTTAGAATTGCAAACACGAAATCAAGATATTTCATCTACCTTCTGTTGTATAAGGAAGCATAAAGAGCCAGTAAGATACAGTTTTCCCATCAATCTCAGCAATGGTGAGGACGTAAAAATGTTAGCAACCATGAAAGCTGTTTGTGTCTCCACAAGTCTCAGTGTTTACTGAAAACTCTATGGAGAAGAAGTGCTCATATGTCAACTGTTACCCTAGCACTCGTTTAATCAGGACTCTCCAGCCAACTCTGATACCAGGCAATGACAATGCCTTTGCCAAACTGGTGTGAAACTCAGTTACAACACAGCGATTGCCTTCGTATACCTCCTTTCCCCCTGACACTAATAAAGCAAGTACCTCCTCTTTTTGTCATTACCATGGCTGACTAACATGCTTTCATACTATGACCGAGCTGTTTCGCCAGCAGCTTAATTTCATACAACTTTATGTCACTAAGAAGGGTATAAGGTTTTCAGTCAGATCCTCGTAAGACCAATCTTGCTAAGACAACCAAGACATGAGTTATCTTTAAAGAACAACCAAATCAAAAAATTCCACTTTAAACTAGGTAGTCAGGGCATGCTTTCAGCTTATTAGCCAGTGGCTAATCAACATTAAGTCACACCACAGAGCCTGTCAGTCTTAGCAGTGGTTTATAACGGTGATTATGTCCTATTAAGCTTTAAGTTGCCTCTAAGTTCAGAGGAGGGGCACATTAAAAGCATTAACACCTTTTGAGATGAGCTATCAGAATAGAAGTTCCTCTTCAGAGATGAGATAAAAGTACATTAAGAGACAAGAAACAGGAAGAATTAGTATAGATTAAGGTAGAGTTCTCAGAGTAGAACAGGACATTCTAAGTACATAATACTTCCATTTTACCTGATAGACATCTCCATTAACCACTCCATCAACAGCACCTGTAAAGAAATTACTGTAGTTTAGCCATTTGAGAAAAGACAGAACAGCCAGATTTACTGATTTCAGTAACTTGTATGGAAAGCTTTACTAGAGTATCTAATGTGCAAGTTATGCAAATAAGCGTTACCTGACACCCTGCAGGATCACTTCCTTATCTCTGCACTTTTCCGGATAGGCACAAGAAACCAAGTGAGCAATTATTCTGCAGCACCAGTAATACAAGGTCATTTCTTCAACACGAGATCATGCTTCAGATTACATAAACAACAGAGCTGATACTGCTGAGAAGCTGCTACAGACAGTGCTCTGAACTTGGTCCCACTTTCTCCTCCCTGTCTTAGAAGCTGACTACTAGACAACTGTTCATAAGTTAAGCAGCATGACTCTCACTGGTTTAGTGTCTATCTGGAAAATTACAATTCTGCAGCCAACACTTAGTATTTCTTATCCTAGTTTAGTTACGTCCTAATTCCTAATCATCTCAAAAGATATAGCTAGCATTCCTAGCGAAGTCTCCTTTGCTGCCTTCTGTGACGATATTTGATAGCTTACTAACTTCAGCTGCAGCACTATTCCCTCTGAAGTGACACTGGCAGTAGAGCCTCAGGAACAGGATCAGCTAGGAATCTTTGCCTCATAACCCTAAAATATCATTGTATTAAAACACAGCCATAAGGAATATACATCAGTTGTGAGACAAACATTTGAGTTTGTGAAACTATTTAAATCTCTAGACTATGCAAAACGCACCAAGATTTTCAAGAATGGCAAAATCTCAGCAAGGCATCTCTCTAGAAGAGTGCTATGTAACATGCACCTGCATGATATAGAAAGTAATGTTACTACCTTTGTCTCACCCATAATGCTACGATGGATAAACTTATCACACAGTTTCTGCCATGTTAACACACTCTGCAATGAAAGAAGAGACTGTACCAAAGTCACACAATAGTAAGCAGAAAATAAAGTTATTTTTCACCACCTTCTTAAATAAGATAGCTAATTCGCCTAAAACCAAGAGCACTATGCTGCTGTATCCCCTATTTCTTTGTGGCTATGTGTGCCTCAGTTTCACGCTAGTGTTAATGGCACACAGGAAGCTCTTCATACTCTTTTATCAGGGAACTAGGCAAGCATTATTAACTCCTTACCCCTGAGCCCTGAATAGCAATCACTAACTGTATTAGAGGACTGCAAAGTCCACAGCTCAAACCTGGTAGTTAAGTTAGAATATACAGTCACCAAGAACATAGTTACTAGCTTCAGTAGACAAAAGACTCAACGACAATTTTCAGTTACAAGAATCTGGTATTTTATAACTAGACTCCTACATCTGAAAGGTGGTAGCTACTTCGTGTGATTGCTACTATTCTGCAAGTTACAGGAGCCAAAAAGAACTGGTTTGAGAGGCACATAAAGCTAACAGCATCCGTCTGCTTCAACAGCAGCTACCCTGCGCATCACTTAACACCAATCTGGAAGCTCCCTCAAAGCAGATTTGTAGAGATCACTGCACATACACTGACTTGGGCAGTTACAGCTACCATTAACAGTTCTATTAAACAGGTTTATGAGGACTAAAGCCCACAAAGAAAACATGCTAACACTTCACTCTCCTTCAATTTAAGCCCATCTGCACTATATATGCATGCTGCAGCTGTTCACCTTGTTTTGACAGGGCTGGAATTAAAGCTAAGCCAGGGTCTACAACTCATATTGACATTAACAGCTTGACTAAGGTAGCTGCCCACTCTGCCTACCTTGGAAGAGCACAGAGCAATTCACACGTTCAGACAATCAGACTGGAGACACAAGTTTATTGCTACAACACCCAAGAGAGGCTAACCCCTAAATAATGTACAGAAAGAGGCACTTGTTTCATGAGAGAAACTCCTTGGGAAGCACTGACTCACCAGATAGGTGGAATGGCTAGTAAGTCTTGAAGATTCTTTCAAGAACTGTGATAATATGATTAAGTTTTCCTGTTACACTAAAAAGCATTCATTAAGGTTCTCAGTACCCAGGCTGGTAGTCTGCTGAGATAAAAGGAAGAACATGATTGCTGAGGACTGCAGCTGAGACAAAACAGATGTGTTTGTCTTCGAACTGCTTTTCTTCTGCATAGAAACAGCCACTAACTCGAACAGAGGGCTTCCAGAGGGCACCCAGGTCAGACACACTAAAAGTATTAAAACAAACTTCCCATCTGTGATGAGCTCCCTAGAACTTGTGATTAAGATGCAGAGTCAGCACACTGACTGAGCATACCACACGCAGAAGAGGAAATGGCACTGTACCAGCACGCACACTGTCATATGCAGATACAAGTATGCTAACTGGAATCAGACCAATAGTCAAACATTCTCTCATTTCAGCTCTCCAGTCTCAGTGTTTCTACAAATCACTATGAAGCCTAAAACAACTTGCTTGCCAGCCTTCATGTCACTAATCAAAGCTAGTTGTGTATTAGATTTCTTTGCCAACAGAAGCATGTCATTTCATACCTGCCTTCCCACAGAAAAAGGTTACTGCTATCATCACATTTTCATCAGCCATGAACAATGAGAGCTCTCTACTGGCTTCAGAGTCCATTCAGTTATGAACTTTGCAGAGGTAGCTCTTCTAACACAAGTTCAAACATTTCCTAAAGCATGAAATAGCTCCTTCTAAGGTCTTCCTATCCAGCTATGCTTTGGACAATATCCTCATGCAGGAGAAATGAACTTCAATACAACCATACTTAAAAGCATTTTTTATGAGCTACTTTCAGCACCACTTTTAAACAACAAGTACTCTGCTTCTTCATTGCTACCTCGAGTGAACTAGCTTTAATTGAAGAAATAGAAGAACATAATCAACTGTAATATATTCTGATATAAGGTTAAGTAACTTCACTACTCAAGGCCTAGTTTCCCATCCTTTTTCTTTTGGGCATAAATCATGCTTCCCCTTCACCTACCTCTCATCCATAAGATGATGAGAAAGATAATCTTCTCTGAAGTTTTTGTTTAGATAATTATGCAAGAAACTGAACAAGAAATAAGTTGTCTTAGCCATAACCCATTCTCACACCTGTGTGCAAAATAAAGGCAAGCAGGTCAGGAAGAGGGCTTCTTTTCTGTGCTTCAGTTCTAACCTGCTGTCCCACTAGAGTTCTCATTTTCAACATGATCAACAGGCTAGTACCAAATCACACCTTCCTCTATCTGCAGTAATGCTGTGCTGTAAGAGCTTTTGTTACTTCCCAATAGATGTAGTAGCTTTTTCTACGGTGAGCCTCATAATAATGCAGTATCCCCAAGAGACAGCAAAACCAAGTTAAACAGAGACCATCTCTTCATTATATCTTTCTCAGTGCTACCTTATTGTGCTCTGAAGCCTCAACATACTGATTGCATAGCAAACCTCAGAACAATGGCTGTTCAAACAATTAAGAAAAAATACAAATATTCACAAACAAGTAACTCTGTCTGTAGTACTAACTAGAGAGACAGGAGGAAACAATTCTTTCCTAATTATATTTTCAAGCAAATTTATGTTCAGTCCCTGAAAGGCTACTAAATGTGGTTTATGGAGAAACCACCAAAGGCAATTAAGTTTCTTAATTCCAGGGTCATGAGACTCTTCAGAAGATGGAGAAACATAATTCATTCAAAAATGACAGAGCTTGAAACTGTGAAGGTAATGTTTGAGGCTAGACAGCCTACATTAAACTTGTGTGTATCTCCATGATTGTTAACATATAAAACTGCTTGTCTTTGAATGTAATTCTCCATTAGAAGCTACTTGACAAGTTGTCACAAGGTTTGTGTATTGACATACAGGTTCTAGAAGCCATACATTTAACCCGAACTCACTCTCTCCTGCTCACAGGACACAGCAAGTGAACTGCTATAACCTGAAGGCCTACTGAAGATTGGAGAGAACTGAAGAATCTGACTGTAAATAAAAGCAGGCATTGATTTATCACTGAAAAGGAGATCTCTCAGAAGATCAAGTTACTAATAACTAGGCAACAGCACTGTATTATTTGACTTACACAGTACTTCCTGTTTTCTGAAGCAGTGATTATGCTCCATCTTTCAAGGGAAATAAGATTGGTTTTCACATGCCCAGGAAGCTTGAACAGGATAGCTATTTACATAATAAATGGTCTATTGGTTCCGGCCAGTATTACAACCCTGATCACAGCAATATGAAGCGATACTGAGTGAGATACATGAGCTTGGCAACATTCCCCCCATACTCACCCAGTATCCACCATTACTACAATTAACAGAAATATACACTAATGTCAGTTTCCTGATACTGGTATGAACAGTTCATGGAGTTCACTACTATCCATGTATCTGCCTGCTCTTTTTTTAGGAGGCTGCAATCTAAAAACTGTTAGTTGTACGAGACACTCTTACAAGTGTATTTCAAGAAGCTGGTAACTGCTTCTAACAATAGTCAAAGGTAACATCTTCAAACTTCAGTTGAAAGCTGCCTGAGTTATGAATTTTGGCCCAGTATTTAGAAAGAAAACTTATCCAACAGGTCTGTAAATAAGGCGTTCAAAAAGATTACGGTTAAAAAAAGCAAATCCACAAATCCCTGATCACAATGCTTAAGGATTCACATAAGAATTTGTATTATTTCAAGAAGAAATTTGCATTCATCTGTTTAACTTCATTATGGAAGTTTAATAAACTAATAAGCACTAGAGATAGAGCTATCCAATACTTATCACTATTATTTGTCACTATGCCTGAACCAGTATTTTGCACTGCTACAGTCCGCACTTTTTAACAAGGAGGGAGTACAAGCTCTGACAGTCACAAACGGATCTGTTAAAAAATGGGTGTCGTGGTTTTAGGCTGATCCAGCAACTAAAACTCACACAGTCTCTCCTTCTCCAGTAAAGTAGAGAGGAGAGAAAAAAAACAAAGACCAAAGGGACTGAGGGTTGAGACAAGAACAGGGGGAGCACCCACCAACCATGGTCCCGGGCAAAACC